ATGGTTATTTATTATTTCAAATGCAGACTTACGTTAACCCTATAGCATTAGGCCAATAATATTTCAAACCAACTACTTAACTGTTACATGAAGTTCGCTGCACTTGTCTACCTTGACCGCTATGTTAATAACCTCTTTACAAACAAAACTCTGTGTATTTTAACTCTAATAAATACATTCACTTAATAGAAATCGCAATCGATATCTAATTTTTTTATGATTCCAAGTGACGGGATTAACAATCAATCGTGCACCTGGTGTTAAGCGACACGCCTGTCCATAGCAGTTGCAGTGCTACTCAGAGCTTTAAATCGCAAAGATATGAGGGACACTGCCATTGCGCCTGTCACTCAGAGACATAAGTTGACAAGTCCCATGTGCCTGTAATTTTACCAGCACCCTTACCCTTTCAAACCGGAACACAGTAATGCAGTCATTAGTGCCTGGCGACAGAAATAGGTACGACCATGGATGAACTCTTCCACGAGGAGCTCTACTGCTACTAAATCTGTAATATTCTCGACTGCTACTCGATCTTTGTGTCGATAATAATAATAATAATAACAATGATATTAAATTCTTTAAAATTATGTCAGTCTAGTCACAAACATAAAAAAATTTAAAGATCGTTCCTAGTCTGTAGGTACAGATTTAATTCTAGCGTCCACTGTTATTCCATAGTATCGTTTCCTAGGAATAGCGCTTGCCATGCAAATGTCTACAAGTTTGCGATATCTCCCCGATAAGCTTGCTTACTTGCCTATACAAATGTTTGTTTGTTTTGTAAACCTGGCCATTGGTGAAGTCAGCGAGGAATGCACATTTCATTATCAAGTAGCCTACTAGAAATTTTCTTTTGCTTTTTGCGTATTTACATGGAAATTGTTAAAGGGTTAAATAGTCAGATGTCAGAGAAAATATATCTGAAAATTAGATTTTGGTATTTTTTCTGGGTATAAAACTTCACAACAAAATAGTGCGAAAGTATAATGTGTCATCACCCACTGCTGGACACAGATCTCCTCGCAGGGGAGTAATGGTGTGTTAGAATAAAATGTAACGATTACATTTCATACTGTTTCCCAAATGTATACCTATTTGTATAGCGTAATGATTATGATACGTTTCTTAAGAAAGTTTAACAATATTTATTCCCCCTTTTTTGTAACACGAGTAGGAAAAATAATATCCCTAATACACAAAAGAAATTCACGAGACTGTAATCATTGTGATGGAACATTGTATGCGCACGTAAACACGTTTTAATGTACGACGTAAACAAGCTTATTAGAAACATTTTCATATTTCGTCTTCATTTTGTAACTTATGTATCGACATTACGATTCCAGACACGTTTCTGTGAAGATTAGTCGGTACTATGCTAATGAATATTCAAAGGACAATGTCATTGACGTCTGAAGAGCCCGTAATCATTGGACTTTGGAGAGCCTTTTGTAATCATACTATCTACATATTTTGTTATTGATTCGATTTCACAATAAATACTCTAAGGATATTATAACGACTTTAGCTTATCGATACTGCTTCAGCTGAAATTCACATTTTTTCTTTACTAATACTATTCATTTTGCTTAAGGTCGAGTGGCAGGGACATTGGCTTTATTTCAGAATTTATTTATATACAAACGAAATTAAAATTATTTGTAAAATATATATCGTATAGTGTACGTGTTCTATTTAGTTAAGTTGATGTAAAAAAAAAATTGAGGTAAGTTTTTTTCCGTTTTCTATCGTGAAAATGTTTAGGAATTTTGTTTTCTCGTCGTATATTAATCACTGTATATTTTTTCCAAAGTGATTCACACAAAATTTTCACTGTTATGCGGAATCAAGCAAGGCCATTTGAGATAGTATAGACGTTAAAGTTAAGCGCAAGTGCTTCGTCTGCGTGGACTCTAGAATTCGTTTTAATCATATCTACACCTCGGCGTAATAGGGCCACATTTGATAAACGACGTTTCAGGGTGAGGTTTAAAGGTGCTGCGAACGAAAAATCGATAACTTTTGTATGCTTAAATAAGGAGAGTTTAAATTTTACACACACAATTTATTTCAGGGTTGTTGCTGACGCAGGTATTTTACACGTCAGAGGACGCTGATTTTTCGACCTTAACATCAGCGTATGCTGACTTTATGTACTTATATTTAAAACTAAACGCGAAAATGAATATCCTTACTGCATCTATCCACGTAAAAAAATCTATTTTCTTTGGTAGTGTAATAAAGTATTATTTCATTGATTTTGTGACATTTTTTAACAAAAAATCAATCTGCATGAAAACAATTGATCTGCCTGCCAGCTTAATCATTCTGGAATTTTATTAAAGATGTATCTGAAAAACAACAACGGAGCTGATTTTTCGACGTACAGTCTGTTTCTGAAAGGTTTGTTAATTATTCCAGCGTGCCTTTTAGAGGTCATGTCACGATTCGAACATTCACAATGAATATCAGCATCGGCGAATGCTGATGCGGTTGCGGATATTTTAATTTATGATGATTATCCGCTGACGCCGAATGCCCTGAACAACCCTGATTTGTTTCATGCAGTACATATTACTTTTATGACGTTCATACCACAAAACACTTTTGACGTGTGATCACATACTTTTACACACAAATTTTGCCTATCACAAGTTTTAGTCATATCTATTACAATTAATTTTAAAAATCGTAATAATACTGCAAAAAATAAATAACAAATATATTAAGTTGCAATTCCTAAAGTCAAATCTGTGAAGTTTCAGTAGATACGTAAAAAAGTGATATGTCCACGTATCGTAATCTGTAATAAATATAATAATATCTGTAATAATATCGTAATCTCTCTAAAGTGATAATTACTTTGTTAAAAAAATAAGCCACACCCCATTTCGACGATTTATTGAAATATGTTCAATAGTTTTGCGTTACCTGCCTTTTGGACAGGAACTATTTAAGAAATAATATCCGCAATGTCGACAAGAACCCCCCACGCCTCCTCCCCTTGACCCCGATTGATAATTGATTGATTAAGTACCAACTTCCATAAATTGAATTCGCTACAATTTTGTTATATTACCAGATTAAATGGTCATGGATAAAAACGTAAAAATACACATTATAATTATGACAGTATGTAGGTTATTTACCTACAAAAGGTTGTTGTAACATTGTTCTATAAAACAAAAACCAATTTTTAAATTGATTCTATGTTAATGTAGGTACAAAATGACATTCTTACATTTTATAAATTGTGGTGCATAATGCTCTAAAAGTATTCTACTACATTCATTTATAAACAAAGTTACATTTCCGTTCTATTAATAAAGTTTTTAAAAGTAAACAAAGTAAATAAACACATATTTTAATACAATATCAGTTTTATCTCAACTCTATAAACAAACACGGAGTCAATAGTAATGTTATTGGCGTCATTTACGGTGTTACGGCATTATTTTTATCTAAGCTCATAATATTTAATATCCGATAGCGCGGGTTCAAGGTTGGCCGCGCTGAAATCCGCTGTATCTATCTAGTAACATTTCGTCGGTGTGCCGCCACCAACTCTCGTGCCATTTGGTCCGTCTGTTCGTCTCTGGCTGCCTGCCGCCTGCCCGGTCGCCGCGCGCCCTTTGCGCTTTTATCAATACACCGCCGCGCCAGTAGCGCCGCCTGGCGACACCCGGCAGTACCGTCTCGGTCTCGAGTGCGCACGCTCCATGCTCCAAAACGTTACCGCATCATGTACCCATTTCCCCTTCAAAATAATCCCACCATAAAACCCCATGTTGTCAACAAAATTCGCGACCTGTGACGTAACTGCATACTTTATCGTCCACGACTCCTACCGCGTGCGATTCCTCAAAATCTTAACCTAAACCCGCGGAACGATTACGTCAATACCAGGTGACCTCCCTCGCCACCCTGCTACAGACTGTTATTGTTTATTGTTGTATATTTCCGAAAAACAAGTCAGTTTCTGTGTTTTAAAATCGAACTCCAAGTGGTGCATAGAAGATTTCTAACGGTAAGATTTCAAATGTTTTCAAGTAGTACTTAAGCAAATATGTTTGTAAAGTTAGAGAAATGGAGATCTTGTTTATTTTTAAGCTCCTTCTCGCGTAATTTGCAAGGGTATCGAAAGTATTCTAGCTAACGTGGTCGCATCGAGTAATGGTTATACTTTCGCTCAGCAGCGCGCCAGGGAATGAGGTTACACTCTCTAAATAAACCGAGATTTTTAACAGACGTTTCAGCAACATTCATCGGACTCATAAATAAATCAGCACAGCGTTAATCCCTTTTAGGTTTAATGGGAAATTAATTACAATTTTTTTGAAAGATCTTTTAATTTGTCTGATTGTATAATACAGATTCATATTTATTACACTAACAAATTCATTAGACACTCAAGTTTAATCCTGTATCATTATGATCTCTTTGCTTAAGTTATAACGTCCGGGGTTCAATAGAAATGCTTTAAACATTGGTTCCCCATTTCACAAATGGACCGTCCCTCAGCATTCGCATTGCGTTCCAATTTGCATCCAGTGCACCGACATTTGCCACCTTTTGTCCTCCAATAATGATGTAGTTTTGCATAATGTGCCATTCTTTTCAACTCCGTCCTGCATTCAACATCGTGAGATTTTAGGCCAAGTTCAGGGTCAGTGATGCAATGATTGTGTTCCCAATACACGCTCTGTATTCCTTCTTTCGTTATGAAATCGGGGGTTGATCCCCAAACAGGTTTTGATGTGAAATGGACCACAAATTGCCACCAATATTACGAGTGTATTTGAGTTACCGAATCGAGTTTTTGTTGTGAAAGGGCCGCAATCTAGTTTTAACAATAGCCAAATCTACTTCTAGTTTTTTTCGGAACTTATATTGAGAAAGAAATATTTGTTAAAACGCCTGGGAAAAGATTTTATGAAGCACTTCCAACGCATTAATCGGTAATAAGGATTCAGTTGTTATTACTTTGTAGCACGAAATGTCAGAAGGGTAGTTGATGTCGAAAATCGTAATTTCAAAAAGCAACAACCCGAGCATGAATATTTAAATACTGAGTTACATCAATTCTCTAATATTTATAACATGTATATATTTTCATGAAGAGTACGCACTGCGAAAATCACACGAAAATCTTTTCAACTCTGTTAAATTATAAGTAGGGGGTAATTGGAGCTAAATGGAATTATTATGTATTAAAATAACATTTAATCAAATCAAACTTAAGCCCACTCATACCACACATTGATTGCCAAATTTTATGAAATGTATTCTTTTATTTTTATATTGTATGTCCACACGTGAATAATAGTAATAAAGAATTAATTTTAAGTTAAAAAACTATTTTTGCATAATTTTTCAAGTAGACTTACATAAAATCTAAAGTGATCTACCTCATATTACGATGTGATGCCCTATGATATGATATGATGGGGCTACTACATTTAGCCCAAGAACATTAATAATACAGCTCTTTTAGGTTAAATTAGGAACAAAGAAAATACTCGGCCACAATGGACACTTATTATTCACAAAAGTCATAAATAAAAACATAGATGACTTTGATAATAAACTAGCGACATTAATTGGACACAACACATTGTTTATTTGACGTTAACTAATCATATTTTTGTCCTAAATATTTCGTTTCTAACGCTGCTGAGATTATCAACGTATTTTTTAATGATAGATGATAATCAAACATTCTATGGGAGAAATAGGGCAGTCCAGAGCCGAATATAGGAATTGAGAGCAAAGATTTTTATATATTTAAAGTCAAATATCTTGCTACGATCAAGGAAAGATATATTACAGTTCTCTCTCTCTCTCTCGCTCTTTCTCTCTTTGTTTCTCTCTCTCTCTCTCTCCTTTACGTTTAAAAACCTAGGCTCCAGTCGGTGTACGTACTGCCATTCAATCCTTTAGAAGACTTTTCTATGACTTCTTACAGAGCTTATCATTTGGTAAAAATATTTATAATTTCACCAATTCTAACTTGTTCTTCTAAACACTAACTTATTCTCAATCTTCCTCATCCAACCCTACGTGCTACTTTTTGTTTCTCAATTTTTGTTGTGTCATACTCTCTCTCATACCCTCTTTGGTTTTAAAGTATTATATTAAAATGTTTTTATTTTCTATCATTCTTTTTAGTAATATTTCATAGATTATTATCTCTGTTTAATTAACTCTCACCATCGTCTATGAGTTAATTCTGTACATTATTCTGCAAAATGTTTCTCAAGCTTTGCATACTTCTAGTATGATGTAATTATGTACTAATATCTTCTAAATTAACCTATACAATGGTTTTTTCGAAATTCAATCCACAAGTACGTATCTACTTTCGGGGACTCCCTTTGTGAGTGAATGTAGGCCTCTACACTACAGTACAGTTACAGTAATTCATTAAGACCTCTGGTTTCCATTTTCAGTTGAAGAACTTGTCATTATGGTATTGTACTATCACATTTCAATCCATTCATCTAAACTAGCTATGGTACTAGCTTAAATACATAACCAGTTTTGGCTCTGGAAATATGACAGTCCTGAATGATTTATAGACTCATCGATCCACAAACCATTTGATACTGAAACGCTTTTAGGCCGAATTTAATGCCAGCAGTTCCACGATTCGAGTTCGAACTTCATTAAATGTGCATAAACACTATAAAATAATTTGGCAACGTATCTAGTGCGACAATGTTGTTGTAGTGTGTAACATTATTATATTATTAGACATTTTGGAAATAGCATGTATAACATCATCACTTATCCACGTATCAAAGAAATTAAGTAGTAGCAATAGAGCTCCTTCTGAAATGTCTATTTCCTGCCGGCACATGGGACTTGTCAACTTATGTCTCAGTGTGACGGGCGCAGTGACAGTGCCCCTCAGATCTTTGCGATTTAAAGCTCTGAGTGGCACTGCAACTGTTATGGATAGGCGTGTAGCTTACCATCAGGTACACGACATAATATTATAAAAAAAAATTAAAAAATAGTTAGACCTAAAAAAATTATACTTATTATTTCTGGCAGCGTTTCAAAATTATATCAGTGAAAACATAGTCATCAAAATCAAATCTTCAGTGATCAAAATCTCTAAAATACAAAAAGATTCACTAATTAAAGTGAAATGCATGAATGTGATGTGTAAATATTTAGTGTATAAATTACTCTGTTATGCTAATGTTGCTTCATAAGCATTTTGCGTATCGGCACCGACAACACATTTTTGTACTGTAATTGTACAATCGACTATTGAAGTATTACCCACGTTAATCAATAGAGATCAATTATTTCATTGGGTCAGTCCTCGAGCTATATATCCTTCTGATGTAGCAAGTCCCGACTGTAGAAGAGCTATTGTTCACTTCCCACCGACAATTCATAATACAGTATTTTGTAATATTTAAGTGCCTCTTCGATTTGTAATTGTAACGACATACATATATGTACATCATCATGCTGTGTCTTCAACTGGAGCTGGCAGAGGCTATAATGCTCCACTCGCTGTCCTATTGACAAACCTCTTTAGTCTCCTTCACTCACATCAGTCTTTTTATACATACCCGTTTATTGGCACTTAAATTATAAATATTTTATTGAAAATAAGATTGTGAATCTAGTCGTTGAAAATTGTGCTTTAAAACAATAAAACTTGGCCTTTCCTTTTTATGTTAACTCGTTCGTAAATTTGTGCAGGAACGTTCAGTTCAATGACGGCTCATAACGCTTGAGCAAAGAAGGATTTTGTTTAACAAAAGACATTAAACAATGTATATAGACAAAGGACTGTCAGTAAGATTAACTTTTAACCTTTGATTTTGAAAAAAAAAAGTATTTAATTGAAAAAAGAGAAGCGACAATTTTCAGGGTCCTCTGTGTCAGATACACACTCGTTTGTCGTGTGCATGTCTGTGTGTGACATCGTAGGTCTCAAACGGACAGATTGACCTCGAAGAGGTTTTTTATTTTAAGGTTAATTTAGTCGGGATCGTTCTTAGCTATGTTATCAAACATCTGTTCATCCGAACATCTGTTCAGCTGTTTAAAGACCATCAGCTCTTAGAACACATAGTGTACGGATCTCATAAAATCATCATTTATTTCGTTTCCACTTGTCCGATTGAAATGAAATTTACTGACATGAAAGTATTCCAGAGAAATCCGGTGATATTACAATGATATGTACCTCAACTACTTACAGTAGAATTATAGTATTTTAAATTTTATATGCTCCCTACTATTTCCAGGCACATGACAAACCAACCACCGAAGTACTCTGCCCTCTATCCTGGTCACTACATCATCTTTCATCCCACAACGGTTTCCCACTACTTCAAATTTTAATTTGAGTGCTATTGAAAGAGAGGTCTGCAGTAAGTGAAGGGTTATGTGTTTGCAAATCGATCGAAAAGCTACCAATTTCATATTACTGGGTTGTAAGTGCTACTATGGTGCTTTTGACATGTTCGTCGAGGTATGGTTAACGTACACACATCAAAAAAAGTTTGCGATCAATAGCATAAGCTCCTATAATTCTTTAAATTTAACTTTATCAAGAAAAAATCTATGTTGTATGCTTTCTTTAAATAGGAATACCCTGTTTGAAATTAAAATATAAAACTATTTTTTATTATTTATTTTAAAAAATTGAGCCATTAATCATAATGTATTAGTGATAGAAATTTCATAGAAAGAAAAAGACTGTTTAATTAAACTTAAACAACAATTTATTATTAAAAGGTGTGAATTCAATATAAAATAACTCCTCCCCTGGCTCGAATACATGCGAATATCCTCCTGGGCATGCTGAGGATCAAGTTATCCAGCATTTCCTGGGGTAACCTATCCCATTCTTCAATAGCGGCTTCCCTGAGCTCTGGAACTGTCTGGGGACGTGGCTCACGGTTCCATACTGCTCGTTTAAGAGCATCCCACGCGTGCTCTATTGGGTTTAAGTCGGGCGAGCCGGCAGGCCAGTCTAATCGTGTGATATCGTATTCT